CAGTGGCCCTGGGGGAAGGTTCTGGAACGCGGTGATGCACACTCAGGGCAGGGAAGCGTCCATTCACTCCACACTCAGCAACGTCTTGAAAAGGCAGGAGAACACCGGGGCACCGACGGAAGGTGATGAACTGATGGTCGTGGTATGCGGTAGTGGTAGATGACCAGAGAGTTGGCAGTTGATAGGTGAAGGTCTGGGAACACAGCCCACGAGTCCAGGACCTATGATGAGATCACAGCCAGAATTTTGACGGACAGCAGGGTAGCTAGATACTGACGGTATGGCGGCTGGGTTGAATCTGCCCGCGGCGGAGAGGGTTGCTGCCGTTATCACCTCCGTCCAACCACCCCAAGTGTCGTATGCACCAGCAAACGAGCGAGTTAGCAGCGGTAACTAGCCGGAGGATCGTTTCTGCCCTTACAGCGTTCAAGGTGACGGAGAAAATGGGAGTTCATAATAGTCTCGAAAATCTTAGAGAGGGATGAAGTTAGGGCAATGAGTCGATAGTTACAGGGATGAGAATGGTCACCCTTCTTCGGGATGAGCTAAACCAAAGCATGCTTCCAAGAAGAAGGAAAAGTTTGGGTTTTGAGGCAGAGGCGAAAGAGGCAAACAAGCACAGGGGCCAGAGCTTAAGCACACTCCTTCAGAACACGAGGGGGTATTCCGTCAGGTCCAAGCGCCTTACTCACATCCAACCTGGATAACACACCGGCAACCTTGCGAGTGGAAATTATAGGAAAGTGCATACGTTCAGTTGGGGGAGCACGGGTAGGAGGGATAGAGTGGGAATCGTCTAAGGTGGAATTAGAGGAGAATAAGGTGCCAAAGAGATTGGCTTTGTCAGGGGGAAAGTTGGCTATAGAGTTATCAGGTTGGAAGAGAGGAGGAAAAGAAGGAGTGCAGTAGTTGTGACAGGTGTTTTTGGTGAAGGACCAGAAGGATTTACTAGAGGAAGAATTAGTCAAGACAGCGGTCTTTCATTTTTTATAAAATTCCGCTTGGTTCTACGATTCCTAGAGGTAATGAAAGAGGTGTGGGTAAAAGGAGAAGGAGATAGGTTCATAGCTCGATGTGCCTTATCTCTCACCCTGCAAGCAAGAGAGCAGGAACGATCAAACCATGATTTTAATGTAAAAGTTTTGGTAAAAGATGGGATAAATGCACTCATACCACCCTATATAACCCCAGCAATGCTGTCAGCACATACCGAGGCGTCCCGAATGGAAAAGCAACTTTCATCCCAAGGAAAGTCGGTGAAGAATTCTCGCAAGGATTGCCAGCTGGCCCTCCGATAGTGCCATAGTTGACTCTTAGAGGCGGGTGGGGGAAGTGGTCGAGCCTAGTTTGATTTAATAGAAATAAGGTTAAGATCAGAAGACCCTAAGGGGGCAGAAATTGAGTATGAATAGTGTGAGGGGTTAGAGGCAAAACAAAGATCAAGAATGTTAGCAAGTTGTTCGTGACGATCAGAAACGCGTGTAGGGTGTTTGATTATTTGTTCCAAATCATTAAGTTGGGAAAAAGAGAGTGCCTCAGTTCCACCTGGGTCATCCCTTGCAGAGCCAAGTCACTCTCTGTGATGTACATTGAAATCCCCTAGGTAGAGGATCTCGGTGTTGGGGTGTGTGGATAGCAACGACTTATGGCAAGATGTAAGATAGTCAAAGAGTTCGAAATAGTTGGTAGAGTTGGGAAAACAGTATAGGAAACAAAGAAAAATAGTCACAGTAGGTAGAGATATTTTGAGCCAGATGAAATCATAAAGAGAAGATTCAAGATCCGTGAGTCGACCTATATGTGAAGATGAAAGTTATGGTTGTTTCGAATTTGGAAATAAATCCTAAAATGAAAATTATGGAAAATTGTGTATACACGGTATTTGGGAGGTACCAATAGGTGTGGTGGTAGATGTGCAAAAGAAATCAAAATAAGAATATGTCAAAGAAAAACAGTATTTAATAACCTAAAAGACCCAATGAAAAGGGACATTAACTTTAATCTCAAAAAAAGGTTGCAGAAAAGCTATATACTGTACTGTATGGTCGAGACTGTTTTACTGATAAGAAGCGTGGACACTTTCAGCAGACACCAGAAATGTGTTGCAATGGGCCTATGTTGAAAATAAGTTACAGACAGGAAAACAAATGAAGAAGTACTAAAGAAAATACTTGGAATATACAGAAAAGATACTAGGGTTGAGGGGATAGTAGCAGAATAATTAATGGGCAAAGTTGAGGGTATAAGAGAACTAGGGGAAAGCAGAGACTGTCCACAAAGAGATACAAAATCTTGGAGGATTGGTATAAACAGCCCGAAAACGTTTACAGTGGAGGACTTTGGTCGCCAACCCTCAGATAAGAGGGCGGTGCTTTGAGTAATTGATTGACCTTTCCTTCTTCTCCCTTACATTATCTATTTACCTTACCTTATCTTGACTTACCTTACCTACCCATCACATAGCACTTTTCTACTCTCTACCTTTTTACTACCATTGTTGCCTATTCTTAACAACACCTACCTGTTACCTAACTATCCTAGAGACTGAGGATAGCCGGTCCAAGGGCCACCTAGGCGTGAATTTGTTTAAGGTGTAGAAGCTTTCGGCAACAACAACCACACTCTAGGTTAACGAGTGTCAAGGAATAGTCCGAGAAGACAGGACAACTCGCCAACTACACTGGCTAACCATTACCCCGGAACACGATTCCCAAATCTATTAACATCCAGGTTCCCAATTACTGCTGGGTAGACATAGGCAAATTGCTTAAAGAAATTTGCCCATAGTTTCAACCTGCCCCGGGATGGAAGAGAGGCGAGCATGCTGGCCATTACACCACAGGGCAACTACTTAGCTAACCTACCTATTTAACTACCTAGCTAACCTACCGACTTACCTACTTAACTAGCCTACCATACTTAAGAACCCACCATCCACTAAACTTGCTTGGTCACCTACTTACTCACCTACCCTCTTACGCATGGGTTTGTATCACCTGTTTAAAACGTAAGACGGGCTTCAATTATAGTGATTCACCTTCTACTCTTCATACAATCGGGGCTTTGAAGCTTCCTGAAAAGCCTATTTTTGGTGAGTGAGCGAAGCTTTTGCACTTGCTATATTAGACCTCAAGATATCACCCTAGGAGGTGACAAGGCCAATATTAACACATCTTTATCAGTATAGGCTGCTACTAGCTTGAAGAAAACTGTAAACTTGAGAGAATGGGTACCTGCCCAGAAGAGCTCCATACTTTCCAAAACCTACATCGGGAATAGCAGGGGGATGGAGCCGATGGAAGGGCCAGATAAGCGCGTGCACTAGCTTTGCTCACTCACCAAAAGATAGGCTTTTCAGCAAGCTTCAAAGCCACTATTTTAGTGAGGTGAGCTTTGCTAGTGCACTTGCTAAATTCCACAGGAAGGAGGGTGCTAGGATGTAAGTGTAGCAGTGAGCATGCAGGGTGCCTCCTGGTAAGAAGCAGGAGGCCGATTTCCACCTACCCCCTTCCCGGACCTGTAAGAAGGAGTGGGTCCTCAGGAAGGCCAGTGGAGCCGCTACACCCCGTAAGTCGTGGGGACGTGGGGCCTTCCCAGGGTCAGCCTCCTCTATAACCTGCCGCAACCTGTCTGCCAACCCTTTGACTAACAGCGGGCAGACCAACCGAGGATGAACAAAGAGATGATGCTAGCTGGAGGTGTAATCGGCCGTAGCAGAGAGACAATGTCGGTGGTGCTCGCCCTCCACCTTCCATGCCGGAACAGCTACTAGCTGGAGCCTGTGGTTCTCCCGCTCATTTTTCGCCAGGGAGGTGGAGAAGGTGCCAGGGACATTGCAGAATCTCCTTGGGTGAAGGATGTCCAGTGGTCGAACCTCGTGAGTGCCTTGAGCTGGGATGACCTGAAGCCCGTGGCCAGCGCTACTAGAAAGAGGGCCTTCTGGAATAGGCAGTCCTTTGACGGTCGGATGGTGAATGGATCCTGGGGTGAGACAGATATCAGATTAATCCATGTCCTGGTAAAACCTTCATAGTAACAAGAACATAGGAAAATCACACAACATAAGGCCAGTGGCCTAGCAGGTGGTTACTGGTGGAACAGGCCGCGCATCAGCAGGGTAACCGAGCTGTTGTTAACCTTCACCCCGCACCCATAATTCAGGGGGTCGGTGAGGGCAGCCAGGTGGACAAAGAGGGTTGGGATAGACCTGCCTCACCCATGAGCTAGAGATGATAGGAACACTAGAACTACACTTTCACTGGGTGTGGGAGATCCTTGCTCCTTGAGGTAATGCTGAAAGGCTCTCTAGCAGGACTCATATTTTCGAGTAGTGGAGGGTCTTAGGCCTAACAAGATGTCCTCCACCACTCTAGGCGAATTCAATTTGCTCAGGGAGGCACGGAGGAACTCCGCGCGTGTAAGTGAAGTGATCTTTGTAACCTGGCAATGAGGGGATCGAAGAGGCAGGCATTCCCCAACATCAGTGGATGCAGACACTAGCCGCATAGCTCTGAGAACCATGATTGAGCTGGCCAGTAGAGGGCCAGTAGGAGGACTTTCCCTTGAAGCTACGAAGCTTGTGGCAGACTCGTAGCAGGACCTTGGAGCACTGGGGTGGGAACAGGTAGATGTGGGTCAACCTGTTCCAGTCCTCCGTGAAGGCATCTGGGCCCACGTTTGGTGTCGGCGTCAACTGACTCATGTAAGCCGGGAGCTGAGCGGATGTCTAAGAGGCAAAGAGTTCCACCTCCGGCCAACCCCACCGCTCTATCAGTGACTGAAACACCCTCTGGTGTAGTGTCCACTCAAATGACATCCCCTTGAAGCGGGAGAGAGAGTCAGCCCATCCGTTTTCGATTCCCGGGATATGGAGAGCGGACAGGTGGTGCACTTCATTGAAGATCTGCTCCAAGAATGACAGCAATTGGGCTGAGCGGTCCGTGCCGTGCCTGTTGAGGCAGAAAAACGGCTGCTGTGCTCTTGATTTTGAAGCAGATGGCTTAGGGTGCCTGGTCTGGGCTGGCGACTGGAGGGGGGCAGAGACCGTGATGAACGTCGGCTGCACGGCCAAGCTTTCCCGCAGGGCATCCTCTGGGATCAGGGATGGGGCACACAGTACAGAGACTCAAGTTGAACGTGTCATCATCCATGCACTGGGTGTGGGCTGAACAGGCAGTGTGGCCATTCTGTTGGAACCTGGCCGAATACCTAAAGTTCGAGCAGGGTACCTTCTGGAGCTGGGGATGAAAAAACAAATAGGAAAAACAAAACAATGGAGCAGGGAAGAAGAAGGGACTACAGACGTCTCTCTCTGCCACCAAAACGACTCGGTGCGTGGGCCTGGACGAGAGAATACACAAAAAGAGGGTGGGAAAAGAGGGCCACCCACGTGGGGAAAAAGCCAATAATAAATAACAAAATGGAGCTAGGAAGCCCCTTCGTCACTGGTAAGATATCAACATTTATCACAATTTGCATCATCAATATTATGTGAGCAAACCGTGGTGACTGTTGTATCTCTAAGTTCGTAGCTTGGGAACTTACGAATATGACAGGTTAACCTAACAATGATCAGGTTAAAATTGTATACCTTGAGTCTCTCATAAATTCAACTGTCTTATGTCTCAGGATCTGGTGATGTTAAGCTACTGTAGGACAGCGAGGTGAGGTGAGTACGGGGAGCCTCACCAACCATCACACCAGCAGGGGCGGCACTGAAGTTTTACTGATTTTCATTATCGACTTATTTTATAATTATTAGCCCCATTCCTGTAGATGTGCACACACACACACACACACACACACACACACACACACACACACTACTACTACTATTACTTTTCTGTAACTCACAATCGAGTCTGATACAGTGATATGAGTTATTAAGGATGTCACCTAGGTTGTTGAGTTCTGAGGTGACTAAAGAAGCCGATACAGGACCGCCAAGGTCGATCACAGATGTTGCACATTTCGGGGGCTACATCTAGTGTGGGAGGGGTAGCGGCAACGTCTCTCCGGCGTTGGCGCTTGTCCGCCTAGTTATGCGATCGGGCTAACTCGAAAGTATTGACACCCTCTTGTGTGGTGGTCCTCCTAGCGTTACGGTGTAGAGTAATCGTCTCCCAGGTGACGGGATCGATTTGGCACTTTTTCAGGTTTGTCTTAACCCGTAAACCCCGGGTTATGGTGCAACTGGAAGTACCCCACACCCGGGGGTAAATCGAAAAAAATAAACTTTTCAAAAAATAATTTTTAACCTCTTTGAATGATAAAACAATAAAAAAAATATGTAAGAAAATTTATATATTGACCCTATAGAAACTTACTTGGGAGATAAAGGGACAGTGTTGTTTGGACAGCTGAACTCTGGTCACCTACACACTTACCAGCTATCTTTAGTTTCCCTTTTGTGTCGGATATAGCCAATAATGGATATATTTACTGATCATAATACTTAATTCCTATAAATAATTCATTTGGAATACTTAATACGCATTATTTTTCATAAAAAGTTCTTGGCAACACTCACCAGTCGGTCGCCAGTCTGCCTGGCTGTCCTTGTGTTTGGTAGGGCAAGTAATGCATAAAATAATAATAATTCCACAAATAAATACATTTATAGCATAAGCATAGCATTATTTTACAGAAATACTACACTACAATACAACTGCACTACTTTTAGCAATATTACTTTGATACAACATCAGGGCCTGGGGAGCGGAAAAAAAAGTAAAATTAGAAACAAATTGCACCATAAATTAGTACAGAAATGAAACAAATGAAACAGAACAAGATTTAGAAACGATACATATGTTGTGCTGTTAAAGTAAGGGAAACAGTTGAGACCGTGCAATAGTGAAAATTTTTGTGATACCATATCTTCCCATGCGGTAGTACCTTCTTGTTTGATAGCTGCCTACTACCTACTGCATGGAGAACTCTATATCAACGTTTTCGAAGTACACTGTTGCGACGAAGGCCACCCTTCAAACAAGGTAGTGGCACACTGGGCACTTACCTCCAAACATGTTTGGCAAACACGATCCAGCCAGCAAAACAAAGAAACGTTTTGCGTCACACTGGGTTGTTTTGTTGGCACGTCTGCCCAACGCAACGAAAACAACAGCAAAGCGTCTCGACTATGTTCGCCATGGATCCCGTTACTACAGTTAAGGCCTTGCAGATTTGTACTATAGTTCTTCAATTGCTGAAGCAAGAGAGGCGTCTGCAAAAGCTAAAGAAAAGACAATGGGTGCGTCGACGAAGTTTCTTTAAAAGTGGCAGCTGCTGGCTGGTCAAAGAAGACCCTGAATAATGATTTAACAATACTAAAGAAGTTTTAAAGTGACGAATAAATATAAATATGTCACCGTTTATGTATTATATTTATACTATTATTGTTTCATGATTTATTTAAGTTTTTACTTGAAATTATATGAAGATCATTTGAGCACTAACCCGGCCAGCAAAGACTCCCGCCAAACTGTTGTCCATTTCTAACAACAGCCAAAATCCTGCTGCTTGCTTGGCGTTTAGGTCAACGGCCAGCAAAACGGCAACCTTGATTGGAGGAAAGTGCCCAGTGTGCCGCCACCTTTAGGCAGCTACTTCTACAGTGAAACTTTCTAAATCCTTCACCTTCACCACTTCCACAAAGACTCTTTGTACGACCAATTTTCCGAAAACTTAGTTATTTCTGAGGAACGTCATCTGAATTAAGATCACTGTAGCTCACAAACTCCACCTGGTTTCGAACATTTTTTTTTCTTCACTTTTTGTGCCTATCATGTAATCGCTCTCTTCCTTAGGAAACTCAGCTGGTTAGGGACCCTTTTGAGGATTTATGGCAGGTGCTATTCACTGCACACTGCACAAACCTAAGATCATAATTCCATTGGCCGCATTTATTACCTCACCTTCATCTGGTCCCCAGTTTTGGCCGCCCAAAACTACACCGAGGCTGGCAGAATTGCAGGGTCCCTCGTTTGGGTTACCTCTCATCCGCTTGTTTGGGATGAGTTGTGTACTGCTCTGAAACCCCGCATCTGCGATTCGTGTGTGGGGGTCAGATCACCACACTAAAATATATAAATCCATGTTAAAAGAAGTGATCCAATCTTTTAATAAAAACAGGGAGTGAACTGTTCCATACCTTCCCCGCCGCTGGACGAGATTTGACTGGAGCCCCTTTGCGTTTGTTACATCACTTTTTTATGAAAATAGCTGTACACGCACGTATAAACCAATCATTGACATCTGTGAAAAATATATTGAATTTTTTGTGTATGATATTCTTCCTGAAAAAGTATTTGTGTGTTCGTATTTTTATTTTATTATTATATTCAGAACGGAATGTTAGAGGAAATGTGTATAACATCCTTTGGAACTTAACACAGATGGCGGTGCATTATCTCATCCAGCAGATCAAAAGATAGAGAGAGTTCCGTCAACCGGGAGCCATGTTGTTACTCAGTGGGTGGGAAGTCTTCTCGGGCTCTCTCCTACATAGTTTATAAAGACGCTTAGCCAAGTATAAACATGTATGACAAATTTACTGAATAAACAATATCATCATCATCTCCCTCTGCAGTACGAGCGCAAACTTCTTCATCAGCTGAGTAACAACATGGCGCCCGCATGTCACCGAGTTGACCGAACTCTATCTACGGCTTTGTCTTCTAGTTGCGATACTGATTTAATTCGGAAGGAGACATGTAAAATTTTGTTCTTTCCTCTTTAAATGTAAATGAGTAAATATGTGTAAGTGAAGAAGAAAGTAACAACACATAACAAAAATTGCTTCCTCTCACAGGTGCGACACAGCCTCCATCTTACCTTCTTGGCTCACCGCTCACTGTACTGGCCCACTCACCATACCAGCCACCGCTAATGTCAACACTCCTCACTCACCACCTAAGACAGACCTTGAGATAATGGGGGAACATGGCGAGCACAGCTATCCCACACAGCTGGGAGGTTTGTGGGGTCATTTTGAGGTAATTTTGCACTTGATATTAGGAGATATTATGTAGTCAATAATAATTACTTTTAACTCTTCGAAAATGCCTGCATTAAAGAAAACGTATTGGAATTTTCTGATGAAAAGGGGGATCCGAACCCCCAGGAACCCCCCTCCCCCCCCCATGAATCCACCCCTAACTGTAAGATTATTATGCATATCTCAACACAACAATAAATATCAGTCATTAGTCTATTATTCAGCCGGTAATGTAACAAAAATATTTAAGTCTGTATGTACAGTACAGTATGAGATTAAGAGCATTTTATGTTAGTCTACACATCATAAGTATTTGTGCAACATTAGCCAAATTTGATAATATTTATGTAAGCTATTATTTTCTTATAATATTTCTTGACATTCATAATAATATATAGTGTTACTACACGTTGCAAATAAAAATATCCAGCAGTTATACTATGTTTATTATTGAAGCCACGGTTCACAAGTTAACCCAAAAGCGTGTATACATGTCAGGACATTAGATTAAATATATATATATATATATATATATATATATATATATATATATATATATATATATATATATATATATATATATATATATATATATATATAAATATCTATTCAAGACATCTTCAGAGGCAACTGAAGATGTCTTGAAATAATTTTCCCGTGTGATTTTATCAAGATTTATCATATCCACGTTTTCATTGTGGATCTACATGATCTATATATATATATATATATATATATATATATATATATATATATATATATATATATATATATATATATATATATACTATATATATATATATATTTATATATATATATATATATATATTTATATATATATATATATATATATATATATATATATATATATATATATATATATATATATATATATATATATATATATATATATATATATATATATATATATATATATATATATATATATATATATATATATATATATATATATATATATATATATATATATATATATATATATATATATATATATATAGTTTCTAGGGGTATGATCATGTAAAATACACAGAGGTAATGCAGAAGAACCTGACGATTACATGAATAATCAACAACGAAGTTATTTCACGCCCCCATGGCTCGCTGCTTCACTATTCAAGACCTTGCAAATATTCATCGGGAGTCAGTAATGAAGAAGAAGCGGTATATAGATCGTGAATCATGAAAATTAATCATCATGGTGAGAATCTCAAGTTCCACGTATAAGTAACACCTGGGTGGGAGATGTTAGCAACCAGTTGTGGGCTTGAGGTGTCGGCGTCCAGGCAAAAGCTCCAGAGAGGTGGGTGTTAAAAGCCAATCAGGTGTACCATAAAAGCTGCTAGCGAATCCATGAATCCCCAAACCTGCAAACCTCTTATTGATGTTATGTTAGGATTCATTAAATTTCAATCCGACTTCGTTATATCCAGGTTCGTTTGGGAGATTTTTTTTTTCATACATGATAGAGTCCTGATACTGTATTTCTCAATGTTCATATCTTAGATTTTTACCATAAGTTGTATGTTGTAAATCGTAAAAGGAATACAAATTAAATGGTGTCAAGATTACAAAGAGACGTTTTATCACCAGAGATGACTTTCTCTCTCATATCAAGTTAATAGGTCAAGTAATTTGTGAATTACTGGGACTCCGAACACAAGTCTAAGAACATGAAATAAGGTTCATCGTTAATTTCCTGTCATTACAAGGTTGACAACTCAAAAAGTGTCCCATTTAAAGTAAAACGAAAGCGAATTTAAAATAATAATTTTGCAATTAGTTGTAATTCCTTATTTTCATTACAGTGTTCAAAGTAACGTACGATTTTCTGAGAATAACCAATAGCAAAGTCAAGTCTTTGGGTTCCTTAACAGTAGATTACTCGGAAACATGGTCCTCTAGGAGAGGAAACTTAGGTCCTTCTGGTGGTCTAGACTCTAGAGCAGTGGTTCTTAACCTTTTTTTGAGTCACGGACCCCTTTGGGAATCTGGTGAAAGCTATGGACCCCCTCCCTAGAAAAATGCACATAAGCACATACACACAACTTTGCATGCAATGAATATACTTTATTTTATTGAAAATTCATTGCCTCATACAGTGTATGACATACACAAAGTATGAATAAAGTAAACAATCTTAACAAGGAATTATGTTTCACACTTTTGTATGCAAAAATTAATGGCCACTCCATACAAAAATGAAATACAATCATCTTGTGCAAATTAAACAAAACAAAACTTTAATTCTGCTCAAAAGCTCATTTCAATGTGAAGGTTGTTGTTGTTTGGATTGAAGATAAATGTTAAATTTTTATCTAACCTTCACGGACCCCTGCTCTAGAGCCAGGGATGTCAAACTCATTTGCCAAGGCGGGCCAGATTTAATATGAGTACACAGTATGCGGGCCAAGTAACATAATTATAAGCACTTCACAATCACCTCTTAGGTGAGTTGTATGACAAAATAAGAAAGGTGGATTTAGTCTGCGCTCGTGCGAAACTCTTAAAAACAAACAAACAAACAAATCAAGTGTTTACTTACCTTGATCAATCTTATTGTTTGCTACTGCTGCTTCCTGATAATTGGCACCTCTTGGTATGGACCAGTGCATCAAAGTTTGGCACTAACGACTGAGCTGTAGCAACCTTCAGTATTGAATTAAGGTGCGCATCAGTAAGTTGAGACCGAAGTCGACACTTGTTCAAGTTCATCACAGAAAAGAGTTGTTCACAGACATATGCACTTCCGAACATTGACATAATCTTTGAGGCAAAACATTTTATCCTGGGATAATTTGGTCCAAAAGATAAAATGTGCCAACATCAACACTCGAAAACTTGTTCCTCAACACAGAATCACACTGGAGCTCAATTAATTCTAACTGAAGATGTTGTGGTACCTCATTAACACCAACAGAGAATGGGTCCCGAAAAATGAAAAAATCCTTCTCAAGTCTTTAAAGTCAGCAAATCTTTCTTGGAACTCATTCATTAATTTGGAAATCTTGATGCAGTACTTTTTTGTGTTGATATCAGCATGAAACTCAGGTGTGCCTTGCAGGGACTTCAAGGTCAGAAAGTGAGAAATATTACTCTCTGATAGTTGCCGTTCAAAAAGGTGAAGTTTCATCTCAAAGGCACGAATGCAGTCATAAAACTCTGTCACCATTTTATTGCGTCCTTGCATCTTTGTATTCACGTAATTTAAGTGTTCTGTAATATCCACCATGAAAGTTAGATCTTGAACCCATTCTTTATCTTTCAGTTCATGCAAATCCCTTCCTTTCTGTTCCATAAACATTTGTATTTCACTGCGCAACTCATAAAATCGCTTCAGTACCACTCCCCGACTTAACCAGCGAACATCAGTGTGATATGGCAGTCTGTGTGTGTTCTCATTTTCCTCCAATAAGCAGTTGAACTGTCTGTGGTTCAGACCTCGCGCGCGTATGAAGTTCACTGTCTTTATAACAACATCCATGACATTATCCATCTTAATGTTTTACGACACAACACTTCTTTACGTATAATACAATGCACATAATAAATTTGGTGGTTCGGGTTCACAGCTATTAGTTTTTCCTTTAATTTTGTTGCCACGCCAGCTTTTCTACCCACCATTTGCTGTGCTCCATCTGTAGCCAGACTCACAGTTTGTGCCCAGTCAACACCTAATTTATCCAGTGCCCCTACCAAACGCACAAAGATGTCATCACCTGTTGCTGTTCCTTTCATTGGTACCAGTTTCACAAATTCTTCTGTTACCTGCATATTTTCATCCACACCACGTATAAAAACTGCAAGTTGTGCTACATCACTTACATCGGTACTTTCATCAAATGCAACTGAAAATGCAGTAAAGGACTTAACTTTGTCTGTCAGTTGACTGTTAATATTCTCTGATAATTCACCAATTCTTTCTGCAACTGTATTTCTTGAGAGGCTTATGTTTGCAAATGCTTGACGTTTTTCCGGGCAAATATCTTCTGAAGCCATCAACATACATTTATTTATAAAGTTTCCCTTAGAAAACGGCTTCGATGACACAGCTATTTCATGGGCAATCCTGTAACTTGCCTTAACTGCAGCATCACTGACTTGATGAACACTCTTAAATACTGACCGCTGCTTTTTCAATGACTGCTCCAACTCCTTAACTTTGTCTTCAAGTAACTCTCCACTATATTTATTGTACTTCATAGCATGGTTAGTTTCATAATGCCTTCGAACTTTGTATTCGTCGGCCACAGCAACTTGTTGATTACAAATAAAACATGTTGGTTTTCCATTAATTTCAACATAAAAGTATAAGATTTTCCACTTATCCTGTACCACCCGACGCTCGTTATTAACTGTTCTTTTCTTTGAAAACATAATTATTGGCTCAAAAGTAAAAAACAATGATCACTGCTGCTTTGGATATTTGCAACGTTCCAACTGCCTCCAGCGACTATGCAGGACTGGTACTGTACTTGAATGACTGGCCAAGCGAGAGCCTGCCACGTCAGAGTTTTCATGTCTAATACCTGTACTGTACAGAGTGTATACGTGGACAGTAGTCAGTCGACCGTCTCACAACTCGTACAGTGGCACAACCACAATTAACCGTTAAAACTATCTCTAGTCTTATTGTTCTTTCATTGGTGATGTTGATTGAGTATTTTGTTCTAGGAAACAGCAGAATATTTTATTCAGCTGAGGGATATACACTCACTATTTAGTTTACCTCCTCAAGGTAAGGCTGGAGCAGAAAAAGGGCCGCGGGCCGCATGCAAGAGTATGTCGAGCCGCTTGTGGCCCACGGGCCGCATGTTTGACACCCTTGCCTGAGTCTAGACCATCAGAAGAACCTAGAATGTAGAGCTCTAGACTCTAGATATATGCAAATACTAACCGAGATTGGCTCACATGCTGACTTACTTCCCCAGCATATTTCATATAAAGAAAAACCACCCTACTGCTAACCTAACTTACTATAACTTAACCTAACCTAACCCATATATAGAGTTAGGATGTTTACTCATAAAGTGAAATAAACTAGGTCTAGTCTTCATGTGACCAAGCTAAATTTCCTGTATGCAGATGTGTGTGTAATAATAATAATAATTATTAACGGTTTATTGAAAGAGCATGGCAGCCGGAAGGCTGAAAATATACAGTTACATAATTGGGGAAAGGGTCTCTTGATTTACAAATAATATACAAGTAACCTTAGTGATACAAATATGATATATAATAACTAGGTGGGGAGAAGATCAAACTACAGGGCATTTCAATATAGTGACAGTGCAAAAAGTAAGATTGACTGGGAGTAAATACACTGGTTGATTACAAGTTATTGATAATTTTTACAATGGTTGGGACTGGGCTGTTCTTATAGCGATCAGTTCGTGCTCGTATGGGCTGGATGCGGTTGTGGAGTCTAACAGCAATTCTCGGATGAGGGTTCTCAGGTGGTAGTAGGAGCCGGTGTCGAGGATGGTGCAAAAGCTTCTCACCAAATTTCCAGATAAGTTCGTGGTAATGGTCAGTGAGAGCCGAGAGCGCTTCTTGATATGCGAAGTATGTGAAGTATGAAGGGGAAAGAATAATCATGCATGCCCTCTCTTGCACTTTTTCTAGATGTTTACGTTATGTGGCATTTAGGGAGGAAGACCAGGTAGGGGAGGCATAGGTGAGCTTGGGATGTATGAATGTTGAGTAAACACTGAAGAGGTCGGGCGCAGGAACTCCGAGGGACTTGAGTAAGCGGAGGAGGTGGAGACGGAAACTGGAGGATTTGACAACTTCACTGACGTGTGGTTTCTAATTTAGTTTGTTGTCTATGGTGACAACGAGGAGCTTAGTGGAATCTACTACCTGGAGTGTGTTGGGACCTAAAGTAATGGAAGGGGGTGGGACAACGTCGGAGGAAAGGTTGATGTGCATTGTGCATAACCATGGTCTTGGTATGGTTGATGGTGACGTGGATGTTGGTGGCTCAGTTTTGGAGACTGTTCAATAAAATCCTGAAGGGCAGTATAGTCGGGAGCAGAATTGTTGACGCTGATCCCAATGGTTGAGTCGTCAACATATTTCCAGCGAGCAGCGGCTTCTCTTAGGGCATTTTTGATAAGCATAAGGAAGCATAGTGGTCCCATCTTGGTGCCTTGGGGGACGCCACAGGTGAGTGACTGAAAGGTGGAGACAGCCCCTCGGAAGCGTACAGCTTGGCGTCGGATACTGAGGAAGTCTGTAAGCCATGGTAAAAGGCTTCTTCGAAACCCTAGGTCGATAGCTTTGTTGATGATTAAATTGTGATAGACTAGGTCGAATGCCTTAGTGAAGTCAATGAAGGCGACAGCTACAGACGTTTTTCGTTTCTCCAGATGGCGGTATACGTAGTTGAGAAAGCTGGCAAGACAATGAGTGGTGGAGGAAGTTTTCATATTACCAAATTACTAAGGATCTACGGCTCCTGCAATATCAGCATAAGCCGAGTCGAACACAAAACTTTCACAGATTAAGCTGGGTATTGGGGTGATTGCAATGGGTCGCAGCTGATTTAAGGATTGTGGGTTGGTTGACTTGGGCACTGGTGATACATTAGAAGTCTTCCAGTCAGCTGGGCATCTGGCTTGACTGAGAGAAGCATTGATGATGGAGCAGAGGGGCTTAGCAAGCTCCGGGGAGAACTCCTTGAAGAGTTTCATTGGTAAGTCAATAGGGGTGGTGGAGCCTTTTAACTTTAGGTTGTCCAGACGTTTTGCTACTTCAAATTCTTCTACTAAATGAGTGGGAAAGGGGGCTGGTAGGTAAGCAGGGAGATTGGTTGTGTCTAGCAGGAGGAGCGTCTGGCATATAGTAGCGAAGTGGTTATTTGATTGCTCAGCTGCGTCAACATTAGTGAGATGGCTAAAGAAGGGGTGTGTCTTATTGTTTAGTCCACAGAGTTCTTTAAGCTTACCATGCCACTGACTGACGTTGGTCTGCTTCAGGTGTTGCAATTTGGTTGGGTCGTGAGACTTCTTTGCAGTGCGTATTTCGCGGATGACTCGGTTAGGAAGGGACCTGTAGTGGTTGTGGTCATTGAGATAAAAGGCTCTGTCTCTCTGTAACATAAGTCTTTTGATCCGAGGTGTGATCCAGGGCAAATCAGCTGGGTGAGATCTGACGGACTTCTCGGGGAAGAAGTGGTGGTGAGCTTCCTTGGTGGTGTTGGTATAATTTATCCATTCGGTGTCCACGTCATCCATACTAAGTACTTCAGCCCTATGGTGAACTATCCACTGCCCGAAAAGACGCACTGCAGAGTTAGTAATCGGCCTGTAGGTCTTGATGTAGGGTCTCTGTACTTGAGTGGGAGTAGAAGCTGGGGACCAGAGCACTGAGAGATGTGTGCTACACCCGGTAGGAGGCATTGGTTGAGGTGATTGGTACCGGTCTGCTAAGTCGGTTAAGATAAGGTCAAGGGTATTTTGACCGTGTGTGGGGAAGTTCACAACTTGTGATAGTGACAGCTGGTCCTGGATATCAGTGGTGTCAATTTCATTATAGTCCCCGCATAATACTAACTTGGCACATGGGTACCTAACTCTTAGGTCAGTGGTTATCAACCTTTTTCACTAAATTCCCCCCTTGAGGAATTTTCAACATCCTCGTGGCCTCCTTCATTTTTCTCCCAGAACAGACAAACAGACAAGTGATAAAGACTAAAGAATGATAAAGAAGGACAGATAAATAGGACAAGAGTTAGAATGGCAAACACACACACACATTTACATACATAACACGCCCATGCACTCACACATAAAGCATATATACAGTCATACACAAACATGCACGCAGGTAAACATTCACACTCAAGCTAGCAAGCAGAAGTGTACTTCCTGTAAGCAAGAACACTTCTCCTTTGACAAGCACTGCCCAACTTGGAAGAATAGTGAGTCATACCAATTTAGCACTAAAGATGATTGGATTATATAAGTAAAGAATGAGTATGAAGAACAATTGCACCAATAAATAAGGAAATAATTAATAAAGAAAGTGTACAAATATTTTACCCGCGTAAAGCAGTGACCACAAGAATTAGGAAACAAAATAAGTAACACCAATTACGGATTATATTATGCTTGAGTCAAGCTCAAACACAATATATGGTTCAGAGACAATACACTCCACTGTTTTCATGATGGTATCCCATGCCAGACTGAGATCAATCGGTCCTATCACCACTTGCAAAGGGATGACATACGGGCACGAACTGAACAAGTCAGTTCAGCAGCTCGGTCCAGCGCCTGTCACACAGACAGGGACTGGATCTGTGAAATCTTAAATTATCCGTAAAAAAAAAAGAAGAAAATTAGCACCAGAGCATGTAAATATTAAAATTGTATTGTCGTTATGATTAAACAAAATGACAAAAAAGAATGAAAATTCTCTTCTGCCAAGTCAAAATAAGTAATACAAGAGCTAACCCACCTCAACTATCCTCCGTCCCTGGATGAAGTAGCTACTGCCATCAAACAGATGAAAAATACCAAAGCCTCGGGGCCTGATAAAATCCCAGCCGTCCCCACTCTCTCCTGGAGAGTATATGGGAAAAGGAAGAAATCCCCCAAGCTCTTAAAGACGCATCCATCGTCAATATTTATAAGAACAAGGGAGACCGGTCAGACTGTGTCAACTACCGCGAAATTACGCTGCTGTCTATAGATTGCAATATATCGGTCGAGTCCTCCAAAACCGACTTCATCCTGAGGCGAAAACCTTCCTCCCAGAATCTCAATGTGGCTTTAGACCATCACGTGGCACCACTGACATGATCTTTGTTCTCTGCCAGATACAGAAAAAGTGTAGAGAACAGCGTCGTGACCTGTACATAGCCTTCTTCGACCTAGCCAAGGCCTTCGACTCGGTCAATAGGGACGCCCTCAGGTGGACCCTCAGAGGTTTTGGCTGCCCACCAAAATTTATTGCCATTGAGAGGCAACTCCACGATGGCAAGAACGGCCTCCAGTCTGAGTTTTTCCCCATCCAAACGAGGGTAAAACAAGGATGTGTAAAGGCACCGATTCTTTTTTTCCATTTTCTTGGCAGCCTTCCTTACTCGAGGCAGTGCCAATTTAGCCGGCTGGATGGACATCGAGTACCGGATGAAGGATCTTTTGAACATAAGACGAATCAAGGCAGGAACAAAGGTGTCGGCAGCTTCCATTACTGAAATTAGTATTCAGACGACCTCACCCTTATCACTTACACTGAACGCCTATGCAGATGTGTATGCACATTTCGGCATTGAGGGGAATGTATGTACGACTCAGATTCTCTTTCAACCTGCCCCTGGTTCTGCCACACCTCCACCATCCGTCCAGCTCAACGGTATTACCTTCTCT